AGAATCTCAACTCTTGCTCTACGACAAATGGAAATTCAGACTATGGTAACATAACCTTAAATGTCTTTAACTTTTCAAGATCTTTTTTTCCTTTGGCATCCCATGAAATGACTATTAAGCATGAATTACCAATTCAACTAGTAAATGAGGAATAATGAGGAAACTGAGACTCGCTTACATTAAGAAATAATTCATACTGTATTAGCTAATCAACTAATTAAATGTCTTGGAGTGCCTACTCTAGGTTTAAGATTGAACACAGCATGGGAAACACAGTACAAAAAATCCAAACAAAATCCCAAACATTAGAACAACTGAATAAGACAGAAAAGGTAGCAGCATGGGAACAAGAGCTGAGAAGAGTTCCTCACTCTGTGTGCTCTCAGTATACTGGGAAAGGCATGCAACATACACCAATGTATGTAAATTTAAAGGATCCAGTGTTAGCAAAGAAATTAAGGTGCTAACCTGTTAATACTAGTGTGGGCTTCTAGGTGACCTGACTGAGCAGTTCGCAGAGGACTGGAGATTGAAACTTAAGCCTAAAATCAAGAGGTTGTACAGAGAGTAACAGAGAGATTCAGCCTGTATCAAGGCTTCAAAGTGAGAAGTATATCTTGAAATATTTGATAACTTCATAGAAATGTTCAAGTCAGAAGTGGTTAAAATATATTGAGACACTGTATTGGTTTGGGAAACCTTTTTTTATTTTTTATTTTAAAAGAAGTCTTTGGAAGCAAGAAGCCTAACGTCAGATACTAGAGAAACTGTGAGGAAAGACATGGAAGGATCAGAGGAGCTGCAAGTCACACACCAAGGCCAAGGGCAGGTACTGGGTACTACTCATTATTTCCTCTGAAAGGTTGATAGAAAAAGATTTGATTTGTTCAAGGCAATGAAAGAGACTAGGAGATAAGAGGTAGGAAGAAATAGCTGGTCTTTATGTAAGAAAAAAGTTTTAATCATTTTACTTGCGCCCTGAAGGAATCAACCAACTTTCATTCCATAGAATTGCAGTAATCACGGGGACGCCCTGCGGAGATTGCTTCATTGGATATTTCCTCCATCTTGTCTTCCTCTGGTCTAGATTATACGACACTTCAAACTCTATCCAAGTCCAAAGTGTCAATATAGCTATATCTAAAACATATGGTTATAGTGTGGATTGACTGAGAAGAAACCTAGGCGCTGCCATTCCATGATGAAATGCCTGAGAACCACAATTTGTTGTTATCCTCAACAAATGGGAATTCAGACTAGGGTGATGTAACCTTAAATGCTTTTTATTATTAAGAACACATCAGCAGGCAAACACAAGATCACTAATCAGGCAAAATTTCAACTGAAGGACTAGAGGATAACTCAAATTTCGTGCAAACACCCGAAGGGGCTCTGAAAACCGTCTTGTGCATTGCCATGCTCAAAGTTTCTATAGCATGCTGGTTCTGGGAAAGCATACCCCACTCGTAAACCCTAGAAGACTTACAGACTGTCTCTATCATCAGTCAGCACTTGATGAATGAACCCCCACTACTAAGACCAGTAATTCATCATCTGATACGTCATTTCCCTTCTTTACTCTGCCTTCTTCCTCATTAGAATGTAAACATCATGTAGGCAGTGTTCTGGCTGCTCACTGCAGTTTCCCTGAACTTTCTCTTCTGCCTTTGTGACAAATAGTGTGTGCTTGATAGATGTTCTTTTAATTAATGAACCGTATCTAATGTGTTTAATGGCTTAATTAAAGTCATACAGCCACCAGGGTTTTGTATGCAGGCATTCTGACTTCAAAGGCTGAATTCGCCATCATCTACTAAGCTGATAAACTATCCTAATATTCACAGAATGGAGATTCTTGGATTCTAAATTCCCTCACCTTATCCTGAACAAAGCTAGTAGGTAAGATACTGAGGAATAAAATTGACTGGTAGTAAATTATTCAACCTGGCCCACACCCATTCTGAAATAAGTGCCTGGTCATGCCCCCTCCCAATTTGCTTTAGTTTCAAAGGGCATTGGCACATCCTTTGCTTTAAATATTGCAATGATGCAGGTTTACTGAGTTCTGTTTTTACTACATCAAAGCCATTGTCTCCTTTTACCAAGGAATAATGTTACTTCCTCTTCACATCATGAAGTCTGTTTTCTTCTTCCATCCAAGTTGCTGATTTTCATGTTTCTTTATAATTTCTTTTGTCATTCCTGTGCTTCTTTATATTTTGTTATTATTCTATTTTCTATTATCAGAAGGCCATCTGTATGCTTCAAAACTTGCCAGCATCCAGAGTAAAACAGTGGTTATTTATTTGCTTTTGTCTTACCTGAGAAAATTAGAGAGTTTTGCTCACATATTTCAGTCTCCAACCCTTTTCTAGTTTCTTGCTAACATTACAGTGAATTTTGGATCCAAATCACAATTGTTAATTTTTACATTGTGCATCTCCTCCTTAAGTAATTGCTTTTTCACATTAACCTTCTGTTTTGTGGAGTATTTGGAATGATTATTTAGTATTAATGCGGTGCCTAATTAGTTTCCTGCTCATTGTGGGTCTTTTATTCCATCCTTCTCTATTCGTGGTTTCTTTGTTTTGATTCATTGCTAGTCAATTGTTCTTTGAATGATTTATTAGAAGCAGGGCAAGGAGCAGTCCTTTTGATGTACCTGCTCAAGAACAATGAATGTGGCTGTTTGGAGGTTGTGGTTGATCACTCTCCAAAGCCCTCCTGGTTTAATGGCATTGTTTCCTGGCCTCTATGATACACAAAGTAGGAAAGGAGCCAAACAGAGGTTTGTTAGAGTGGGAATAGCTGTTATGCTCCTATGACCTTTTTGCTCATTTTTCCTATACAACTTAATAGTAAAGATAGTAATTTTAAGCAATGTGTGCATTTCTTTTACCAGAAAAAATTCAGTCTGAGTGCCCACCTCTCACTGCTTTTCCTTTCTCTGTTTTTTTTTTATGAGTCAAACTGCACCCTCAGACAATCTTGCATAAGTATTCATCCAATTCTCCTCCTGCTATATATCTTGGCTAGAAATTAAAATTCCACAATGGTAGAGCAGATGATGTGGAATGGAAGGCACAGGTAATTCAGGCCTTCATCTTCTTGGAACTGCCTCTAGGGCAAAGGCAGCTTGAGCACCTGACTTGGTTTCTCTATGTATCAAAACCCTGTGTCTCCCAGAGCAGGGGCTATGCTGTAATATTTGGGAAGAAAACCATCCACTGGATGTTCCGTGGCACCTGATATCCCTTTCACAGCCAATCATTCCTGGGTTAGAAAAACACCTGGGATAGTTAGTCTCCAGTCGTCTCGGGGTGTTGCTAGCTCTCTGAGCAGTATGTGGGTAGGATATGGTAATCTGAGACTGGGGCACGGGCATCTCACCCTCATCAGCAGACAGGAAACAAACCTATTTCCCACTACGTGCTGAGAACCAAGAAAGCCACATCTTATCCGAGATCTGAAAGCAAGATGGGCCCCCAGATGCTTTGGTCCATATTTATGTCTTCATGTTCAATACATCAGAGTGCCTCGTGCAGAGTGGGGACCAGATGGACAGGTAGAAGGCAGTCTGGCAGCTTCTCTTTGTAGCCTTACACTCTCAGTGAGGAGTGTTTCTTGAACCAGTAATAAATGCAGAACTGAAATATCAAAGTGGAATTTAAATGGGCATGCGGACACTCTAAATGTTAATTAGTTCCTCAGTCCAGGGTTTGTTTTTTTTTTCCCTCCCTAGGCAGTGATTGCCACTGACAGACTAAACTGTTCTGTGTACATGCCACCAATCTTGTTTTGGTCTCAGTCCTTATCTGCAGTGAACTGTCACTTCTGCAGAAAGAGTACATGATGTAGTGTACTTCAGGCGTCCCCATATATCTATAATCTCTTGGAGGGCACACACTAACCATAACATGAACCAGGAGGATTTGCACATGATAGTGGCCATCATAGGCTTTACAAATAAATTATGAAAACCTGGAATATGTCCATGAAAGCTCTGAATGGGAAAATACTAACTTATAAGAAGTATTAGCAGACAAGGTGAGCAGAGGGCTATGATTCATGAGTAAGTGGGTGGCGGGAAAGATTGAATGCAATAGAAACAAACGCCCTACAGGTGATTGTATTGGCTCTATGAACCCCTAAAATGTATAACTGAAGAACACTGAGAAGCTACCATCAGAGAAATATTAAATAATTACATTACAAAGCTCTTAGAGTCGCAGTTCCCACTTTGCCACTCCCAAATCAGCAAAGTAAGTTCTCTGCCACTGCAGGCATTCACAGCTAAGCACTGACAAACGCTGACTGTAACGTGGTAACGGTAACTGTATGCAAGGGTAGGTGCGGGATGAATGGAAAGGTGATGGATGGCCTTTATGATTTTTCCAGCCTTGTGAATGTGTGACGTTGATTGATACAGCTACCAGGCCAAGGAAACACTTGATACCAAAACAGTTACTTTGTTTTTAAGATAGAAAATTTTTTGAATGTGACTCATGGCCATGATAAGAGGAGTAATTCCAAAGGTGAACTGGAACACATTCCTTCTGCACCCAGACACTGACAGGCATCAGTACTACAGATAAAGGAATCACAGCTCAGCTTCATGATATTTTCAATGTAGCGCCTTTCCCATACTCTAATACAAGTTTACAGTTTCCATAGAAGCCATACAAATAAATGTTTTAGACCTTGTAATCCGTATACAGTGTCTACTGCAGCTCCCCAACTTCTCTCTTAAGCATCAACATCACTATCAGTAGTATGCAAACTAAGAGTGAAAGCACCACTAAAAATAAAACCAAAGCCAAAAATTGAACAAACAAAAAAATAAAGCAATAAAAAAAATCAACCTTATTTCAAATCTTAAAAGACATGAGGGCTGAACTTGGCTCACGGGCCTCAGTTTATTATTAAACCCTGCTGAAAAGTCTCACAGACTTCACACTTGAGAAGGGGAATCTAAACCAAGCAAGTAATGACCTACTTACTCCATTTGCTTTGCTGAGTGCCTGGAAGTAGATGCTGTAGCTCTTCAATGGGGAGAGGGGAGGGTTCCAGTAGCCATTGTACGTCTTGTTGTCTCCTACTGTAAATGGCTGGGTGACAGGCAGGTTGGAGGGCTTCAACTCGGCAGCAAAGTAGTGTAGAGAATCAAGGTTGGAGGCATTCCGGTAGCTCACAGGTACAGAGAAACACTCGATGATGTCAGCTGCTCTCCGGGATTTCTGAAGTCGCTCCTCCTTGACCACCAGCTGGTAAACACTAGAAAAGAAAGGTGAGAGGTGTATGAGTCAGTCTGCAGACAGATAAGCTCACTAGCATTCGCTATGTTTGTAGAGCTCCGCTGTGAACAGACTGATTTCCCTTCTCTTTGTTGTACTCACTCATAGGTGGGTTTTAAACATAAAGCAAATAAAACCAGCCTAAAAACCACAATCCCAGAGAACTTAGACAACAATGAGGACACTAAGAGAGGCTTACATAGATCTAATTTACATGGGAAGTAGAAAGTAGAAAAATATCAAGATCTCCTGAGTAAATTGGGAGCATGGGGACCTTGGGGGAGGGTTGAAAGGGGAGGGGAGAGGCAGGAAGGGGAGCAGAGAAAAATGTAGAGCTCAATAAATATAAAAAAACTAAAAAAACCCAAACCAAACCAAACCAAAAATTTATTCTACTTTCAGACTTTCAAACCCACTATTTTGTAGAAATTTATCTCTAAGCAAAGCTATCGATACTAGTTCACACAAGACACATCCAAAGTCCATCTCTGCACCAATCTGAATAAACCTGATGCCCCTTGCTGGTGGTTTACCCTCTTGAAGGATACTATCACTATCTGACAGGTACCCAGATCCTAATCCAGCACATTCTCAGGTTTTACCTACATAGAGCTCACTCTTCGCCTCAACCCACAAGCTCTGTGGCCTGGGAATCAGCAGTGTCATGCTTGCCCCAGGCTCCTTTACTTCTTCCCATTGCTGATGCCTAGGCCAGGCATTTTTCCACCTTCCACCTAGGCTTAGCTGATTTTCTTTTGCCCTCAATTCATTTGTTTATTCTGTCTATCTATCCATTTTGCTTCCAGTCATATAATACCATCTCTCTTCAAGCACTTTTATAGTTTTTCTTTTGTCCAAATTATACAGCCTAAGCACCTCATACTGACAGTTGAGGTGTTTTATGCTTGGTCTCCGCTTTCCTCTTGGTGATCATCTCATGGTCCCCACTAATCCCAACAGCTCCAGATACTACATAGCATCCTACGACTGACCCTCTCCATCACCAGCTTGACCGTCCTCTATTTGAAACACCCACCAATGCTAACCACCTCTGCCTATAAAAGACTTCCAATAATACTGATGTCTTTCTTATATTTACTCTGTGAAACCGGTCCAGAATGAGTTAATTCTGACTCATTCATCATTGTCCGCTTGATTTTTCCAAAAGCATAAGATGGGACATGTGCCTTGCTGGCTCCATTGTATCCTAGACAAAAGTGTAACTTAGTTATCTCTGAATCACTCTATGCTCTCCCCTGTTACACACACACACACACACACAGTGTCCACGAGCGTGTCTGACTCTAAGCAAGTGATCAATGAACATTTGTTGAAATGAATCAAAGTGAATTGAATTAAAGTTGAAAGCAAGCATGCAGCCAGATCTGGATGGATGCCGAAACTCTAATCTGGGTAAAGAGTGACTCCTAGGAGAGTCTGCCAAGTAATCTCATACCACCCCCTTCAACTAGGACTATAAGGAGGTGCCAGTGTGTGCATAGAGATGACAGCCTCTATTGAATATCAACCATATGCCAAGTATATAGATTCTTTTTGTGAAAGTTACTCAAAAGTTTGTGAATTGGATTAAAAAAAAAAAGCCCTTATCCCTGGAATGCTCAATGTACCCTTCTCTTGAGGAAACACCTTCTAGAAGGATTTTATTACATTCTGAGTTGTATGATCTAAGACAGAAGACCAATTGACCAGATTATGAAAAAAATTATGTGCATCAATGAGGCGATTGTAAAGTGTACCCATTGTTTTTTCTTTTTTATTTAAGTTTTTTTCATTTTACATACCAACCCCAGTCCCTCCTCCCTCCCCTTCTCCTGTCTCCCCACCTCCCCCGTCTTACCCCCAATCCATTCCTCAGAGGGGGTAAGACCTTGCCTGGGAGTCAATGAAGTCTGGCATACCAAGTGGAGGCAGGACCAAGCCCCTCCCCCCGAATCAAGGCTGAATAAGGTATTCCACCATAGGGAATGGGCTCCAAAAAGCCAGTTCATGCACCCAGGATAAGTCCTGGTCCCATTGCCAGCCCCCCCCCCCAACAGATCAAGACACATAACAGTCACTCACTTTTAGAGGGCCTAGTATGGTCCAATGCAGGTTTCCCAGCTGTCAGTCCAGAGTCTGTGAGCTCCCATTAACTTGGGTCAGCTGTCTCTGTGGTTTTCCCTATCATGATCTCAAACCCCTCACCTTTAAACATAATGCCACACGCTTTACGTAAACAGAGTAGCACAGACTTCAACCCCCTGGTTAGACTATCCATCCAAGGACACTGGATTACGAAGCATGATTTGGGTAAGATACAAAGCCAGGACTATTACATTAAGGTGAACAAAGGCTGTGAAGGAACTCCTTCTGAGAGCATGTAACATCATTGAGGAGGCAGATAGTCCTCGATTTTCTCTGAACCTCGGGATGCTCACTTGTGCAAATAAGGAAGGAATGCATGTGAGTGCATGACACACTTGGATGAATAAGAAGTTTGGGTGGACACGAGCATGTCTGTTGTCTTTTATGCACCTCCCGAAGGAGAGCCTAACAGCTCAGAGTACATATGAGTGACAGGAGTAGGTGTGGCCAGTGCACAGGAAGCACATACTGTACCTGAGTGTCACAATGTCCAAATGAGGGGCTGCAGCACCTGAGTGTCTCACTCTAAACAAAAGTAATGTCCAGAGCTTGTGAGATGGCTCAGGGTCTTAGAGCACTTGATGGCATGCCTGCTGACTTGAGCTTTGGAACCCATGTAAAGATGGAGGGGAAAACTGAGTCCAGGAAGTTGTCCTCTGAAATCCCCATCATAGATCATGCACACATAGATTAATGAATTAATTAAAAAAAACCAACACAGAGATAAATGCAGTTGAGTATTTAGGCTCCAGAAGAAGTGTGGATGGCATGCATAGTGGCTCAAGGTTTCCACATGCCTGTGCATGCATGAGAGCCTTCTATGTCCACAAAGCCAGCTGAAGGCAGTCAATACACATGATTTAAACTCATTCCATCCTCATTTCTGGAGTCTTTCCTTCTCTTTTTATTTTATTTTATTACTTTAAAAAATACCAATCCAAATTACCACTCCCTCCCCTCCTCCCACTCCCTCCACACACCCTCCTACCCCACCCTTCCAATCCTAAGAGACGGCAAGGCACCCTGCCCTGTGGAAAGTACACGGCCCTCCCTACTCCATCTAGGTTGAGCAAGGTATACATCCAAAGAGAATAGGATCCCCCCAAAACAGCACATGCAGTAGAGACAAATCCCAGTGCCACTGTCAGTGGCTCCTCAGTCTGCCCCAACTGTCAACCACATTCAGAGGGACTAGTTTGATCCCATGTTCATTCACTTCTGGAGTCTTTCTTAAACAAAAAAGCCTTATGTTTATCAGATAAACTTCATCACTGTCAAACAGCACAGATGCCTAAGACCTAATCTAGGAAACATGAATAGGAGAAGAGGGCTGAATGCAAGGAATTGTCAAGACCTGCACTGCTTTTTATGTAACAACAGCTTCAAGTAAAGCTTTGCATCTGTTAAGAGTGCTAATGACAGCTTGACTAATTGAGGGTCCTCTATTCAAGGAACTCTGATCATTAAGGAAGAACAAAGAGGAAGTATATGGTCTCTCAGGCTTCCTCCTGAACCTAGAATTAGAATCTAACAATACTGTGCACTGAATTAGGTAACATGACTTCCTTTAGCCTTCCTACCCTCCTGATCCATGACCACCAAACTCACTCCTATAGGACTTGAAATGGGCTGTGGACCCAAAGATCTAGTCTGATGGAGGAAGGTCATTGGCTAATAAAGAAACTGCCTTGGCCCAGCCTTTAGGTGGGTGGAGTAAACAGAACAGAATGCTGGGAGGAAGAGGAAGTGAGGTAAGACGCCTCAGACAGACACCATGCAGCTCATCGCCAGGGCAGACGCAATGAAGCTCCAACCCAGGATGGACATAGGCTAGAATATTCCCGGTAAGCGCACCTTGGGGTGCTACACACATTATTAGAAATGGGCTAGTCCAGGTGTGAGAGTCAGCAGAGAAGAGGCTAGATATAATGGGCCAAGCAGTGTTTCAAAGAATACAGTTTGTGTGTTGTTATTTTGGGGCATAAGCTAGCCAGGCGACCAGGAGCTGGGGCTGCAGGAACACAGCCCAGAGCTCCTACTACACTCGTCTGCTCATCTGTCCTTCACCTCCACTCTTCTTAATATTCACTACATAAGACCTTTGTCTTGTTTGCTTAGCCACCCTTCTTATCCTACACTGGCTCCTTTCAGCATCCTTGGTTAATCAATTGAGACCCCAAAGCTTTTGGAGATTCTCAGGAGCTGGATCTTCTTCCTAGAATCACTCTTCCTTCCCCTTCCCTCCTTCCTTCTTTCCTTCCTTCCTTGTTTATTTATTTATTTTTTGTTTTTAGATTCTGATGGCAGTTTTACCAACCTCTTCTCCTCCTAGTCTTTCCCTCCACCTCCCCTCTTTCCTCCCCTTATTCAGTCCTCCTCTATTTCTCTTCAGAAAAGGGCAGGCCTCAGGTTAATATTGCCAGTCATGATATATAAAGTTACAGTGAGACCGCGTCCATTCTTTTCTATTAAGACAGGACAAGGCAGTCTGGTAGAAGGAAAGGGTCCCAAAAGCAGGCAACAGAGTCAGAGACAGTCCCCGCTCTCACTGTGAGGAGTCTCATAAGAAAGCCAAGCTACACAACTGCAACCTAATTGCTGAGGGCCTAGGCCAGTCCCAAGCAGGTTCCCTGGTTGTCAGTTCAGCCTCTCTGAATCCCTATGATCCCAGGTTCATTGATTCTGTGGGTTTAGAATTACTTTCTATATTCTTGACTCCCCTGTGATGGAATGGATCAAGAAGAACCCAGGGCTGGTTTCATATACTGCTCTTGACTGCCATGATGGTATAGCTGTGATGAGCCAAGAAAACAGGTCATGGCTGAGCTTTGGACA